ACTTGTTCAGTACTCAGGGAGTATTATGGCAGGCCAAATGTGAGTCTTTGGTTGTATTTTGATCCAAGAATTTTCTGCTGGTGATAATGAAACTAATATAATTATCTGTCTTAACTGATAGTAAAGGAACCTTTATGAGACTTTTTTAAAAAATATTGTGTTAACTATGAGTGTATCTACCTTGTCATATAATTTAGTTTCCCAATTCTGCAGAAATGCAAAAATTTTTCGTATCAGAGGTCTTGCTTATTGCTTTTTAGCAGTGAAGAAAGCTAAGAATTAGCAACATATTGTGAAGTATTAACTGTAATTAGATAAAGTAAAATATATCTTAAATATTTTCAGTTTTACCTGCTACAAAGGGGTGAAACATCTCTGTCATATAGAAAGCAGAAGAGCACCAGGTCAGGTTGTTCCGTTCCCCTGTGATTGTGAACTTCACAAAAATAATTTGCAAATGGATGAAAAGGAATAAAGCATTTGGAATTGAGAGCTCTAAAAGGATCTGTAGGGGAATTAAATCAGAAATTGGTCCTTTAAATAGAAAACTGCAATCTTGAAAGTCCTACTCAGCAAATATCTGGACCTGGAAACTTACACTCCATAGGTAAATTGTTTTCATTTTGGGTCTGTATTTAAAATTTGCATTTAAATTATTTTGTATTTAAAATTTCAGTTCTTGACTAGAAATATATCCACCTTGACAAGGCTGATGATTGACTCAGCAACTTTTTATATAAAACCTCTTTGGAAAGTATAACCCAGATACTTCTGACCTGAGCTTGATGTAGTCAAAAAGCACATGCTGTTGAAGCATACCCTCCAAGTCAGCCACGTTCAGTGAAGTTCAGCAAGTTTCTTTCAAAGCAGAGAGGAAATACAGATTAATCAATCAGTAGTATCAGGCCATGAGAACTTTAGGTTGAATTCCAACCCCTGCCCTTGTTTCTTGCCAGTTTTAATCTATATACCAAGAGCAAGCATTCTACAAGAAGCTAAAAGTTATTCTCAAAAAAAGAAAATTCTTAGTACTTCTTACTAAAGTTTCCTTTTTATGTAGAAAAAAATACTTCACTCAAGGAGAAGGAAGTTGCTTTTCTTGTCTGTTTTTTTTTGTTTGTTTTTTGTTTTGTTTTGTTTTGTTTTTTAATATCAATCAGAGAAAAGGCCTGGGTTCAAAGCCAAGATCCAAAAGAGAAAATACTGAAATAACCACTGGAGCAAGGAATGGAGCCTAGTGTTACATGAGAGTATTCTACATTAGGAAACAGAATTATGTGTCTCCTTTATAGCCCAGTGAATTCAAATTAGTTTCTGCAAAATAAAACAGCTTCAGCTGCAGGAAATAACACTGTCCCATTGCATTTAGTTCATCATCATCAGTGGTGGGAGAGTTCCTGCTATAAGCAGAGAAGAAATGAAATTCTGCAACCTCCAGTGCTCAAATCATCTGAGCAGTTGGAGGTACTGTGGACAGTCTCATTAGTTTCTTTCTGTTACTGTTCTTCAAAGAAACAATGACCTTCTCCTTCATTGTGAAAAAATTAAACATGCATCTTTGGGTTTTATATCTTGAACACGAGATGGTCTCAGTGCTGTTGAAGATAGTTGAATCCTGGAGAGGAACATGATTTAAAATGCCCTTGTTACGTAGCTCTTCACTGTTTGGTGTTACATTGCTTCCAGTCAAAGCACTATTCATAGTGTTATTTTGTGTGGAACTCACATATTAGGTGCATAGTCCAGAACTGTGAATTCTGAAATGTGGATTCTGAAGTGAAAGCCTACACTGTTCGGGTATTGCAAATTACTTGGTAGCATCCAGGTGACTGATTTAGGAGAAAATGCGGCAACAGAAGAAATCAGTGGGCATGTGCTCCTGTGATTCTAAGGCTTGATAGACTATATGTAAGGAAGAAATTTTTTACAGTGAGGGTGGTGAAACACTGGAACAGGTTGCCCAGAGAGATGGTAGAAGCCACATCCCTGGAAATATTCAAGGTCAGGTTGGATGGGGCTCTGAGCAACCTAATCTAGTTCAAGATGTCCCTGGTCACTGCAGGAGGATTGGACTAGATGACTTTTAAAGGTCCCTTCCAACCCAAATTATTCTATGATTCTATTATTGATACTGACTGAAATCTCATGTGTATTTGAAAGGTCTTCTTATATCCTCTGTAACAAATAAATTCCATTATGGAAATTATTTTCCTAGTTTCCAAGTAACGTATTTGCTCCTTTGGTTTTTTTGTTTGTTTGGTTTGGGTTTTTTTTTGGCACTCATTCTTTCTAACAGCTGGTTCCAAAATATTAGTGAAGGACCCCAGACCAGCTTTGGGAACTCCAAGCCCCAAACTAAGTGGTAAGTACTTTGATGTATATATAATTTTAAACAATTTCTGTAGAAAAGACAATGAGAATGAATTGCACTAAATGACTTACAGGAAATAAATAATATTAGATTAGGCATTATATTATCAAAACAAAAATAACATTAATTAAATTATTGCCCAATATTAATCTAGACTATATGGTATTATTTATATCCATATACAATTTCTAATCGTTATGTGATGAGGGTTTTATTTGTTTCACTGAAATCAATGTTCTGTGTAAGATCCCATGCAATTTACCCATTCAGAAACTATATTACTTAGACAGAAATAAAGACATGTTATTTCAGTTTTTTCACAGTCTTACACTTCTTTTACATATTGCTAATTTAAATTACTTTACCTAAATAATTCAGTGTTAGCCTTCAACTTAGTCTTCAAAAAAGCTAATTTTAGCCTAGAGAAGGTAGTCTCTCTAAGACCATCTAAAGTCAACTGCAGCTTTAATTGATTTGCTAAGGAAGACTATCTTTGGATGTCATAACTCAATCTAAGAGAAATCTTTCTCTGTCCACTGAAAAGAATTTTTGAAGAAGAAAGTTTCCTTAACTAAAATTAAATTTGATTATAATCCTATTAAAAGTCTACCAACAATGAATATTTTAGTCATTCCTTAGTGTAAGGAGTTTTGTGGGACTTTTTTTTTTCCTTTTTTTTTTTTTTTTTAACACATTGTACACTACTTAACAACTGTGTTCGTCAATGATGTACTTGCATGGTAGTCATATTAGTTTTTTTCATTCAGAAGTTTTTTGTACAATCACAATTAATTGCAAATAAGGTACATAAAGATCAGTTTTCCTGAAAGTAGGGAAATAAATTTCTGGCAGATCACAAATCAACAGCATCAGACTGTTTGCACCATGCAATTTCCTCACTTGCAGTTTGCGAGGAACATCAGTATCTAGGTGTTTTGGTTTTATGTGATTACTTGTCAAAAAATATATATATATGCACACAGAAATAGACTAGGAACTGTCTCTGTGACTCATAGAATAAATGATGAAGGAAGATTTTCAGGTATTCCAGTGTGCCCCAGTCTTGAATTTTGGGATATCCTGAGAGAGAAAGGGGCAAGTATTCTTCTGCATTTATCTGACAAAATGCCAATGCATGCACAAACCCAGAGCTTTACATTCAGTGTGAGTGACCCCAAATAATGTGAAAGTGCTGATTTTAAATAGTCATTATTTTTAATAGAGCTAAGTTTGATACTTTTCCTTTGGAAAGTGTAGTAAACCCATCCTAAATCACCTTCAATTTAATTGTTTGAATGATATCTCATGTTAAGATTTTAATTATTTACATGTATCTCCTTTTACTGGATAGGTAACTTTTTTTTAACCATACTGTTACTGGAGTAACATTACTTAAAGTAATAATTTTACAGTTGGATAATGATATATATTAAATGCAACGGTTTGAATCTAGCATGTTTATTTTCCCTGCAGTCTATGATCTCTTTTTAATTTTAAATTAGGTGATTTTTTTTTTTTTTTCTCTTGGTGAAGCTCGTAATGTTTTAAAGACAAGACAAAACTTCTTATATATTTTTTTTATTAGAAAAAGTGACTATGTAATAAAGAAGATGCTTATAATCTTTTAATGTAATTTAAATATGCTTATAAAAAATTATCTCTAAATTGATATTAATTTCTGCAAAATTTAATCCTATCTGTATGTTCCTGCCCATCTGTGCAGACATAGAAAAGATTCTGCAGTGGAGGAATCTGGTCTTTTGGTTACAGCTGTTAAATCATATTTTGCGAAGTTGGTTTAATTTTAGAACATGTCCATATTTGAGGAAAGGAGCAAATGAAAGTACAGTTGTGACTGTATTCTGCAGTACAAATACAATTCTTTCATAAAAGTTCATGCCAGGTTTCAATGCTTTATATGTGAAGATTATGCCTAGTAAACTTAAAAATAGACAGGGTAAATTAGAGAAAATGTTAATATTTATGATATATTTTGTTGGATGCTTGACATCATAAGTGCTAAATATTGCAAAATGTACTGAAACATGTTTGATGTCTGTATAGTTCCTGATGATGTATTTGCCCAAAATTATATATGGAAAGGATCTTACAATTACAAAAGCAAGAAACAGCCCATGACGTTGACAGTCACCAGTTTCAATGCAACTTCAGGAAGAGTAAATGCAACACTTACAAACAGCAATATGGAATTGCTGTTATCAGGTATGGGATAAGAAAAACTCATTTCCATTTAATTTTTTCTGCCTTATACAGTTTGGGTCCCTGATACTTTTTGCATAATACATAAACTTTTAAGATCTTCTGGAAACTTTCTTAGCTTATCAAAGAATTTTTCATTCTAGTTCAGTTCCTTTTCAAAGGCAGGGATTTTTTCCACCTTTTCCTTCTCTCCCTTTTTTTAATTTCCCAGGTTTTTATTACAGTTGGAGTGAATAGTCAATGAGGAGTGAATGAATTATCCTAATTCTAATGCTTCTTCCTTAAACATTATAAATAACCTCAAATTACTGTTCCTGAGATTATCATATTTCTTAATCATACAATTTCCCTCCAATAGACTATTAATGAATAATAAGCAATATGATGAGATCAATATGTGTTGACCTAGCAAGGCGGAGATACTTAACGAACGTGGAGAGCAAGGAGAGATGACACTTGTTAGACTAACTGATATAGCTGAAAGAAGTAGCTACCCTTCATGCTGTGGTTTCAGAAGCCCTTGATTGCAGTCTTGATTTGTGATATTCCACAGTCCCTGCCATACAAAGCGCCGTTGCCATGGTTATGTTGGCACAATATGCACAGTTCTCTATGCTGTGAACCATCAGCAGAAACTACAGATATGGCTTGACAAGCAAGCAAATAAAAATACATTAAAAATATTTGGGTTTATAGTTTTTTATTATTTTTCAAACTCTGTCAGCCCCTTGATTGAAACATCTCAGCCACACAGACAATGGGCCTGTCAAACCACAGGACTGACAGGCTATAACACAGGGGTGTGAATAAGCATTAAAGAAACACCTGAAATCAATATTATCACTTCTAAGTTTCTTGAAACTTCACCCTCTGGCTACAACACTTTTTGCCAGGACTGAAGAAGCCTAAAAATCATAGTTATGTATAGGCTGTACACTGCTCGTTTTAATCTAGTTCATCACTTAAGGACCCCTTTCTCTGAAGTAATTTAACATCACTCTTTATGCTAGAGCTGTTAGCAGGACAGAAGTGACAGAACATAAAACTGCTGGAAAAAAAGAGTGAGAAAAGTTCGGCCCATGTGTTTCTGAGAGGAGTGGTCTACAGCAAGAATGTAATGGGCCAAAGAATCCCTGTTTCTGTTGAGCATTTAGTTTATAGTATCCAGTAGAGTGGTGAATTTTTGTCATTAGGTTTGTCTGTTGAAGGTATTTTGTATATGTGATTTGAAGAGTCACACTTGAGAGGCTGTAGATGGACTGAATGTTTCATAAGTATTTTCTGACTGGCAATCATGTCTGTCTTGGTTATCTGAGTGAATTTATTCTATCATATGATATCTGTTTAGTTTCAGCAATGTAATTTCTATGGGGGTATTAGGTGCAGCAGATGTAATATTTCATATTTTTAGGATTAATAAAAGTAAAAGCTGTGTTTTGTCATTCAACCAACCTCCTCCTCCAAATAAAAAGATTTCCTCAATTGGACACAAAAGTTATTACAAATACCCATTTTCACTCTTCATACAGGCACTGCACATGTCATCAGATATTTAATATTATTTTATTTCCCTATTTTGCAGATAGAAAACTGAGATCCTGTATATTGAAAGAGTATCTTAGTGCCAGGGAAGTAGGGATGGATCAAAAAAGACATTCAGATGCCAGGAAGCTGATTTCTACTATATTCAACTTGTAGGTTTCTGAAGTGAAAAGTAGTTCTCTCCCTGTGCAGCACTTACTGTTTTGCATGCCATCATTTACTGCATCTTTTTTTTTTCTACTTCTTTTTATTTTAACACCTGTGCTTGCTGTAATTATAGTATACGTGTCTGTCACAGGTTAGAAATAGGCATGTTCTTTTGATCAGGTTAGCATGAGTAAAACCAGCAATGCTATTGCATGGATTAAGAGAACAGAAAGGTACAGCTTTTATTTGTTTATTTGGCTCAGATTAAACACTGTCTTGTACACTAGGAAACCAGTTGCTAGCTTTAAAGAAGTACATTGTCTTTTCACCAAGAAGTGCTTGCATCCACCATTGTAAATTAGCAGAGAACAGAGGTGCCTTGGTCTGTGGGATAATTTTTCTCTATGCTCTTCTTTGATTGTACGTACATAATGTTCATGCTCATGTACACACACCACAGCCCTCAGCCTCATGAAAGCATTTCCTAATGTACATTTGTAAGACACATCCATGGCAAATATGATATTTATTTTTTTTCCAAAATTCCAAATGATTTCTAGATGCACACTGTCCAAGCTTTTGAAGTGACCAAACACTGGGTGATAATCTTAGTGCAGTCCTGAAGGCTAGAGAGTAAACCCTGTCTTATGAAGGCACATTTATTTGAGCTCAGTGTTGTTTTAACATGAAAGTAACACTGCTTGTTAGCTCAGAGATGATTTATAAATAATTATACCTGCTATAGGGTAATCACCTGTCCTTAATGTGGAGAAGGCTTTTGTACTGTGAATTTTGGCATGTAAATGAGAAACATGAATTAGGAATCTCATTGCCCTGTCTCTTACTGCAGCTCCTGACAAGAGCGAGGAAGTTTGCATCTTAACCTGAATTGAACTTCTGAGAAGCCTGTCTTGCCATAGTCTGTAGTGAGAGCCTAGAGTGAATAAACTAACAGAGTGGACAAAGTTAAATGTCTTTTCTTAGTTGGAATATTATCTAGGCATGTGATCTGTTTCCATTTTGTAAGTTGTTTTTTTTCTCAGATTAGCAGCCAGCAAGACAGATGTGACCATGCTTTTTCTTCTCTGGAATTAATTTTAACACAATAACATCGTCCACCATTTTCTTCTGACCATGTATACAAAACTCTAACTATTAGTCTGAAAACTCTACTATCTCACAAATTGTCTCTTGGCAGCACTGCAGTCCGATATTAAACTATTCAGTATTTCTTCATTTTCTACCTTAAGATGCAAAGAGCACTAAATACCTGAGTATTTCCTTCCTTCCATTACTGTATTAGGTAGTAGTTTTGTGCAGCCTTACTTATGTTTTTTTTTCACTGGAGAGTGTGGTGATTTGACCTTGGCTGGACACCGGGTGACTACCAAGCCACTTTATCACTCCCTCCCCTCAGCTGGATAGGGGAAGAAAAATATGACTAAAGGCTCATGGGTTGAGATAAGGACAGGGAGAGGGAGAGGTCATTCACCAATTACCAGCACGGGTAAAACATATTTGACTCATGGAAATTAATTTAATTTATTCCTAATCAAATCAGAGTAGGGTGATAAGCAAGAAAACCAAATCTTAAAACACCTTCCCCTCACCCCTCCCTCGTTCCTGAGCTCAACTTAACTCTGGCACAGGGAGATGGAGAATGGGAGTTGCAGTCAGTTCATCACACGTCTCTTCCATTCCTTCCTCCTCACTTTCTTCAACTGCTCCAGCACGGGGTATCACCCACAAGAGACAGTCCTCCACAAACTTCTCCAGTGTGGGTCCTTCCCACAGGCTACTGTTCTTCACAAATTGCTCCAGCATGAATCCTTTCCACATGTCCTTTCCATGGGGTTAAGTCCTTCAGGAACAGACTACTCCAGCCTGGGTCCCCCACAGGGTCACAAGTCCTAACAGCAAACCTACTCCAGTGTGGGCTCTTCTCTCCATGGATCCACAGGTCCTGCCAGGAACCAGCTCCACTGTGGGATTCCTATGGGATCACGGCCTCCTTCAGGCACAACCACCTGCCGGCCTGAGGTCCTCCATGGGCTGTATGTGGATATCTGCTCCACTGTTAACCTCCATGGGCTGCAGGGGGACAGCCTACCTCACCGTGGTCTTCACCATGGGCTGCAGGGGAACTTCTGCTCCAGTATCTGGAGCACCTTCTTCCCCTCCTTCTTCACTGACCTTGATGTCTACAGAATTTTTTCTCTCACATACTCTCAGTCATCTCTTCTGACTGCTGCTGGTGTTGTGTAGGTTTATTTTTTTATTTTTTTCCCCTTTATGTTATCACAGAGGCACTACCACCATCACTGATGGGCTCAGTCTTGGCCAGCGGCAGGACATTCTTGGAGCCAGCTGGCGTTGACTCTGTCGGACATGGGGAAGGCTTCTGGCATTTTGTTACAGAAGCCACCCCTGTAGCTTCTGTGCTACAAAAAACTTTGCCAGGCAAACCCAATACAGAGAGCCAGTATGTTCTCCTGTCTGTCAGTGCTGTCTTCAGGTCTTGTTCGCATCAGAGAATTTGGATGAACATAAAAATGGGAAATGACCAAAATTAAGAAGACTGCTGTTACTAGAGTTTTCAGTTAATAAAAAGAGATTTAGTTTAGTTCATGCGTAGCTAACACATGCTAACTAAATCTAGTCTGAAGTCATCCACATTAGTTAATCAGTAAAAATAAATTAAAAAAAAGAACGGATGACAGCAGGTGTTTAAGTGTAATTCCTTTACAGTATGAAGTCTCTTCTGTGATGTATTGAGTCAATAAATTAGTGAATTTTAGTTTCGGTTTGGTGCAATTTTCTGGAGGTGGAAGTAAAATTGTTTGGAGTTTTGGTTTTTTTTTTCTTTTTCTTGTTTTAGTTTTAGTTTTGTTTCTGTTAAGTTTTAGCCATCATTAGCTTTTGTTCATGTAAAGTGCAATATAACTTTGCATGATTCTACAAAATAGAAGACTTTGTATGAAATGAACAGTAATTTCAATGTTCTACCAGAAGGGAAATGATCATACTAGGGAGGTCTCCTGTTTAAAATCTGAAGTTTTAAACCATTAATTAATAACAATGGTTAAAAATGTGTAGGGTCAATATCTAGACTGTATTTTCACTATTCACCATTCATTGTCTTTATAATGGAAGATTAAATCACTATGCATATAGTACTATTTTGTTTTCATTCTCCAGATTAACAAATAAGGTTATTTGGGGTCTAAATATTTCTTCTGCAGGAATGAAAATGAGTCAATTAATTGAGCCTACAAAGTTAATAAGGTTATATAAAAGTTTTATTGTCTGGAAGAAACTGTTGTAATATTGACTGATGAAGAACAATTCCATTTTTTGAGATATTTTCGAATTTAGAAAATTTAATTTAGCACTAACATTTAGAAAATAATTTAGATATGGATGTTCCTATTATCGCCTTCTTTACCTGATGACTAAATTACAAATATTGAAAGTGGGGATGTGAGGTTCAAATACACTCTGCCTGATTCAGAACAGTATTTTCCATCTCAAATCAGATTACTGTCAATGTTTATTCTAACACTTGTTACCGTAAGTGTTAAGTAAAACAGCTGTGTGTATAGACTTTCCTTTCTGTCCTTTCTACAGGCTATCCTAAAAGCAGTTTCTATTATAATGTCACAATTATAATAATGTCACAAAAGAATGCATCTTGCTGAACTAAAATGTTGATAACAATGTTCCCTATTCCTCCTGCTTCCCTTTTTAAGGCAAGAGATTAAATGTTTATTCTTAAAGATGAAATTATTTCTCTACTCAACACAAATATAAATTTTTAAAACTGTATTCTACAGGAGTGTATAAAAGCCAGGAAGCTCGGCTAATGCTCCACATATATCTCATTAAAGCACCCTCGCATACATCTGTGAGCAAGTTGAAAGAGGAAAAATGGGCTATGGATGGTTTTGTGAGTATATTTCTGCTACAAAAAAAGAGAGAAGGATAATTTTGTTCGAAATCATGCTGGTGTTCTACACTCAAAAAATCCTGAGAGATATCAAATGGAATCTTGTTAGCAATGCTGATTCATAAAATGAAATTAAAATTTTATTGTAAGATATAGGAGACCAGTCTGAAGGAAAATATGGGAATAGTTCCTGTGTAGGCACAATTATAATGCATGTTAACATAGAAGGCTCTCTGGTTTTGTCTTTGAATTTTATTCAAAAAATACATTGATGAATTTTCTCATAATGATAATATTATATCAATTTCAAATAATCTTATAATATATAATATTAATATAGTAGCAATTTTTTATCATTAGGCTAGCAGTCATGTTTTACTTTTTGGTGATATGTTTAGAAATACCATGAAAATGCTGAACTGTTATATGAATAGGGAAAACAAAATAGATTGCTCCCATTAAGCATTAAGACACTTGAAGGTTCTGGGGCTGAGCTTATTCTATTAAAAAGGAGAAGAAGAGAGCACGTAAGTGGGAGGAGGAGAGATGAAGGAGGGGGTTAAAAAGAAAAAGCAATGGCCCAGGTGGCTGGGACATGTTCAAACCATAAAAAGGAAATCCCTTCAGAGAACAGACAGGAAAAACAAACATCACTCAAGATAATGTGTCCTGGTTTTGCTAGGATAGAGTTAATTTTTTTCTTAGTAGTTAGAAGAGCTGTGTTTTGGTTTCAGTTCAGACTTGCTTTGAGAACATCATTGATAAAAGTACTACTGTTATTAGTTGCTGCTGGAGCTCAAGGCCACCGTGTTTGGCTAGTTCACAGCCGCATTAGGACTGGGAGGGAGAAGTGCAGTGAATAGCAAAGCCCAAAACTGGAATTTGGACTTGCCAATGAAATATTCCATATCATATCACATCACGTTTAGTACATTATCCGGGGATGACCGGAAAGGGGGGGTTGGATTTTGCACAGGTTTTCTCTTGGGCTCTCGCTCTTCTGGGATCGCGGTTTCGGTTTGGGATTGTTGCTCCTCCAGGATCCTTATCCAGGAACGGGCCGGGCTTATCAGTGGGTGGTAAGCAGTTGAGCTGGGTTATCACTCATTTGCATATCTTGTTACTGTTATCATTATCATTGCTATTTTAATATTAGTTGTTTAGGGGTTTTTTAAGTTTTCTTTTATTTCTATTATTAAACTGTTTTTATCTCAATCTACAAGTCTCCTAATCCTTGCCCCAGCCCTCTCCTTTATCCCCTGGGGGTGGAGGGGAAATGGGTGAATGGCTGTGTTGGCTGCTAGCCAAGGGCTAGCCCAGTGAAACTATCACATAATGCCAAGGCTGGAAAAAGCTGAATGTGTTGGGGGCCTGAGACACTTTATTTGCCAGACAAGAAAGTGATTTTTCAGAAAAGAAAGGGCCTGAAATAATTTGGATGATGATGAACACTCATGCATCCTTATTACATCAGAATCTGTTTTCTTCACCTGCTGGTGAAGCACTACAGGGACTAAAAGAAGAGAAGAGGTGTACATTCAAGAGTATGCATAAATTCGTATTTGTGTAACTTGTCTCACTGCTTCAATAATAATTTTTTAAAAGGTGCAAAACCAAAGCAAAAAACTCTAAACCTCTTAAACAATGACTGTACTAGTAAAAGGCTTAACCCCCTTGGTCTGTACAAACTTTAGGCTTCATGAGCATGCTCCTGAGGTGAAAAAAAATATGGTAAAAGAAATAAATTTAGTTTGGACTTCTAAATGTACAAAAGTACACAGTATACTCTCTACATTCCATCTACTCTTTACATACTGTTTTTATTTGTCCATTTTCTTACTTTAACCCAAAGTAAGAAATTCACCTGAGAAATGCACTCTTTTTTCAGTGAAAACGTATCTTCAGGTCATTGCAGAAGACATACTATTGCATTGAGAAAGGAAAGCTTAAGGCAAAATCTTGAAGGAACCTGCGTCAGGACTAATGAATTTAAAGCTAATAGCTATCCTGAGAAGCAAGTACCTGTAAATTTGAATACAATGTGTTAGTTTAGAATGTACTTACCCTAATAAGGGAGATACAAATAGGATTACAACTCTTTCCTCCTTCCCACAACAACTGTAGTTTATACTAGTGTATTTTGCTCTTGTACCAAAGCCTCACTTAATATTCTTCTGCTCTACAGCTGTATAATTAATTAATTATTGGTATAAACACTGAGAAAGAACCAAGGATCTAAATGACAATTGAATGCAAGGTCTTTTTTATTTACCTTTAAAGTAATTAAGACCTCAATACTTACATCCATAGGATTATCTACAATATAATTTTTGCCATTTAATTTCCTAAATAAATCAGATAATTACAAAGTATGTAAGATGCTTAGAAATACTGACATCTTGAATTACCAGAAAATTTAAGTTTTGTTGGTTTTTTAAAATAATACATTTAAAGGTAATATAGGGTAGTATATGTGACTATAAGTCTATGTCTAGTTGTGCCTTTAACAGTTCTTTTCAAATTTATGGATTTCCTAGAAAAAATACAATGTTTTTAATGAGGAATAGCAGCTACCAATCAAGCATATTAGGTTATCTCTCCTCCAAATAGATACTTGTAACTTGTCACAAACTTTTCCCCATTTAATTCAGAGTACTTTTTGTTTACAGGTTTCTGCTG